GACCAGGCTGTGTGACTAACGTCAATATACACAATATACGGTCTTCTAACCCTAGCAAAGACCGTTTCTTGGAGCTAAATTATCATGTGATCGACCGGCCTACAAGCACAGGTTTTCGTTAGTTCTAACAGTGACACTTCCCAAAACTTCCCTGTTTCGGTGCAATTACTAATTTCATTCAATTGCAATAACAGAATAGCTTATAATAAGAAATACAACTTGTTATTTGCACTTAAATACGGAACTTACCAAGAGCAGAGCGAAACTTGACTCCCTTTCCACACACTGGACTGGCACAGTAATGGCACATTCATGTGTTACTATACTAAGTATACAAATATTACTAGTAATAATAATGCAAGAGTTCGTCTTTCATGCTAACGGTATAATTATTTCAAATATAGTTATTATGATTATCCCAGATAGCACGTATCCGCGTCGACTATGGAAGCACTGCCACTAAACTGGCCCAATACCGGGCCAGATTATATGGCCCATTAGTGGGCCGGTTCGTTAGTTCGGCACCGGGTCAGGGGCGCGTTTCACGAAGCTCCGGTAACGTTTCAGCTGTACTGGCCCGATGTCGCGCCATGAAAGCGGCCCGGTGCGGGGCCAGTTATCTGGGCCGGTAACGGGCCAGTACAGCTGAGCTGTTAGCGGTACTGCCGGTACGAGCCGGAACGATGTCACTATCCCCCCAATACATACATGTTTGCTGGGGTGTTGGTGATTATGATTTGTATGCCAGTGTCCCCCAACGTCGGATTTGGCGCAGTATGAGTATGCGCAGCCAGGTAGGAACCGTGTGCGATAAGCATTGTGATCTCTACCGCTTGGAAAACGTGAATAATCATTAGACGATGCTATTTTCTTAAAACAAGCAAAGGTGCACATGTAAAATTAACGAATTCTCGTCACAGTTTGAATTTTTAAGCATAGCAGTGATGGTTTAATCAGGTTAAAAACACGAATAGGATCAATCTATGCTGTGATTAAAGAAATGACCAATTCTATGTTTGGAAAACCACAATGATCTGAGGATTACTGTATATTGTGAATTTTAAATTTTTCCAATTTAATCAGAATGAAAATATTATTGTTGACAGCATGCATTAAATGCATACTATGAAGAGCTTGCCTCTACAAGTAAAAAGCCATCTGATCAGGCTCAGGGTCCGAGTGAGCAGTTGATAGAAAAAAAACGAGCCACAACAGAAAAAATTCTGCTCAAGAAACACAGGAGACAGAACAATGAATCCATCAACATCAACAGAGTCTAGGTTAGCACCAAACATGCTATGCTCTGTAATTAACAAACTGTTATTTTATGTTCCGAATAATTTATCTAAGTGTCTATATATTCATGTTCTTTAATTCTTGTATGTATGTATGGTGCATCTTCTTTCAGTGCTGCATCATCAGTACCAGAGCAACCAAAAAGACTAAAACTGATATCATGGAATATTGATGGGCGCAACGCAGAAAACATTAAGAGTAGAACTGAAGGTGTTCAAGGGGTTATTGCAAAGTATGTACATAATCACCTTTATAATAACAATACTGGCATGTCACATTAAATCTCATAATAATAATTATGAATATTGTAGTAAGAATAATAATGGATATTTTGTTTAAAAAAATGTATTCTTAACCATGTTTTTGATTTTAGTGAAAAGCCAGACATAGTTTTCTTTCAAGAGGTGATACCCTGGTCCTTTGCTTATCTAAAAGGAGTGTTTGATGAAACGTACGAGTGCATCGCAGGTGGTGACGCCGGGTACTTCACTGCTGCCATGGTTAGTCACTGCAATAAGTAAATACAAATATATGCAAAACCTAGATATAATATTTACCTTATATACCTTATATATACCTATTTAATAAAATGTTAAACTTAACAGTGAACAGTGAACCTGTGAATGATTGAAACCTGATGCACATTAATGGAATTTCACATTATGGCTGTTTTTTTTTCTGGAAATCATTACTTTTGTTACGTATTCATGTACCTCATCAGTGTTTAGTTGTTCAAGCAATAATTTTGTGCAATTGTCTCATGTTCTTTGTGCAGGTTAAGAAAGCAACAGTGAAACTACATGACTTCTATTTACAACCATTCTATTCCAGCAAAATGGGAAGAAATCTTCTTATACTTCAGGTAGTGGCTGTAATTCAATTAATTATCATTATTGAATATATATTTGATTATACCGTAGAATTATTGTTATTAAATCAGCTTTCATGCTCATATTGCACTTCTATTCAATCTGTCGTAAAGTCAAGATTCATCTATATACGTGTGTGTCTGCATCTGTGCATGCGTGCGTGCGTGCGTGCGTGGTGAAATGGTGGTAGGTGTAAAGCAAAAGCCAGGTTGAATGAAAGTTCAGTGTAAGTATGAAATCTGCATTATTAATAATCATTCTATAGTATAATCAATAATAGAAATATTGTTAGTTTAAAAACAACAACATTAAGTATAGAATAGTGTAGTGTAGTGCAGTGCAGTACAGTACAGTACAGTACAGTACAGTATAGTATCAGGAGTCTATCAATAGATATATATCAAGAGTACATAATAGGAGATTATCCTATAGGAAATTATCCTATTATGTACTCTTGATATATATTGATAGACTCCTGATAGTATATAGTAAAAATAGTATTCGTGCACACACAGTACAACACTGCCCAATACTGCACAAGATTTGACTATCGGATAAAACCAAATGTCTTATAATCAGAGGTTGGATGATGGAGGCTTTGTATGTGTGCATGCATGAGTGCGTGTGTGCATGTGTGCGTGTGTGCATGAGTGCGTGTGTGCATGTGTGCGTGTGTGCGTGCGGTTGTCTGTGTGCGTGTGTGCGTGCGGTTGTCTGTGTGCGTGCTTGCTTGCATGTGTACCTATACTTGGATAACCATAATAAATAGATATTGAATTTTGATACAGACGGAAGTCACTAGTTCTGGTATTCCTCTGCTACTGATGACATCTCATCTAGAGAGCTCAAATGTAGAAGGAAGTGAACGAAAAAACCAGCTAAAGAAGGCATTTGAAGAGATGAAAGTGGCTGATTCAAAATATACTGTCATCTTTGGTGGGGATATGAACGTTAGGGACAGCGAGGTATAGTATAGCTGCAGTATATGATTGTTGCACCAGGGAGAAATACACATTTTACATACCAGGGTATTTGGTTATGTAGCGTTTTGTGGTCTCGGCGCCACCCGATGGCGCCACCAGTCGACACGTAGTGACTAGCAATAACCTTAGGTAAGAATTAACACTCACCTAGTATGTCCGGATGCGTTGAAATGGCCGTATCGTCGTCACCCGGACTCCGCTAGCCACCAGAGCGCCTCAGTGCTGCTGCGCCCACTCCGTAGTACCCAACCCAGCGTTCGTTCCGGCTCCAGTGCAATAGCGTGGTTAGTCAACATACACCTACACACAGTCACACACTGACACGCACACGCACACGTGGTTTTTTAACGTTATCAGAGCCACGTTCAAGAATGTTATATTTAAGTAGCAAATAACGTAACAGTAATGCAGTGGCTACGGGGGGTTGGGGTTGGGGATAGTGATAGCGTTACTGTTTGTACTTGTGTGTGTGTGTGTGTGTGGGACCGCCGTAACCGTAGCCTCGAGACATTAAGATACGGCAGCAGCGCATGCGTAGTGTGACTGCCGTACCCGTAGTCTCGAGACTTTAAAGGGACAGTAGCCTCTAGGATTTTACTGCATACAACTGTACTTACTGTATAACAAATCGTCTATACCCACACAGGGGCGGATTCAGACCGTATTTGCCGTATTGGGAAATACGGTCTAGATTTCAAAGTGCCCTTCGAAATTTTGCGCTCACTGTGGGGTGGTGTGCCATTTTTGGGCGATGTGCCATTTAAATCTGGAAAAATACTGTCTAGCCTCAGCCCTGGAACCGGCCCTGGGTGTCACCATAGTGCATAGATACTACCACTACTTGGGGGTAGTATCTATGCATAGTGTCACGTAGTCCAGTAGCAGTGCACACGGAGCCCACTCGGCCGCGGGCAAAATATATATATCACCTCAAAATGAAAATTGATAACACCTCACGCTCAACTTTAGTTGGCATTCCAGAAGCGTGCGTGGGGTGCATCCTTCCGATAAGAAGTGGGTGCAGGGGCGGATTCAGACCGTATTTGCCGTATTGGGAAATACGGTCTAGATTATAAGTGATATAGTGCTAAGTGCTACGAAATAAGTGCCCTTCGAAATTTACAGAAAATACAAAAAATACAGAAACAATTTGATGGAATTTGGTTATATTCTTTATTTGTTTTCTTTTTCTTCTGATTCATTGACAGGACTTGAAGGAAATCAAAATTTTATATGGTAACAAAACTAGCTTTTATATCTGAAAAAAAGGGAAGTGCTTGAATCATTCTGCATTAATTGCTGGCAGGGGCGTAAATCCCGGGGGGATGGGGGGGGGAATGGCCTGTACAAATATCCCTCCTTGAGATTCAAAAAAAAGAGAAAAAAAAGAATAGCCAAAAGTATGGTTGCAAACATAGAAAAACACGTGAAATTGTGAGAAATTGCAATTCTTACCTGTGTTTTAATACATGTATTATTACTATAGTAACCTAACTGTGTACGGTCTCTGAAAAAGTCATGAAAAGTGTTTTGAATCCTAACTTGTAGGGTTGAGTCTAGGGTTAAGATAGTGTCATCAGACATGAGAATATGGCCCACAGTATGCCTCAGATTGCAGGAAAATGGCTTAAATATTTCAAAATTTTCTGGGGGGGCATGCCCTCAGACCCCCCTAGCACTGCCATGCCTACGGCACGCTGGCCTGCCTGCGGCAGCCAAGGTTAATTTCGCCCTCGGCTATCGCCGATCATCCCCCCCCACTCCTCGGTACGGATTTACATCCCTGATTGCTGGTATGCAAAGCGCAGGCAAAATGAAGCAGAAATAAAATTCCATACGGTTTTTAGCTATTGCTGCTTGACTAAATGTGTGCTGAAATGGTGCTCATTTTTGTGCCCAGGGACCCTTGAAATTTTGAAATTTCCAGTGGGCGGCCCCCCGCCATGTGCTTCGCGTCTAACGGCGCTCACTGTGGGGTGGTGTGCCCTTAAAATCTGGAAAAATACTGTCTAGCCTCAGCCCTGGATCCGCCCCTGCTACACGTATTTGTTACCAGATACCTAATTTCATTGTTATAATTATTTACACATCAACGCTACGAAATTTGAATTATAAAATAGTAAATAATCACAAAAGTGCAATTATATTTATACCTAAATGCTATTTAACCGAACGATATTCATTTTAGGGCAAATTTATCCATATTATAACTGAAACTATATGTCGTTTATAAGATATTACAATCCTTTTGCTTTTAAATGAATAAATAAGAAATACCCTCGGTCTGTAGCCCTTGGCTGGAAAGTGGTTTTGCGCAA